ACGATTACTTAAGTCATTTTTGACTACTTGTAAGCTCTGTGATCTTCTTGGAATGAGCTATAATTTTTCAAGCGTTCAAATTTTATGCATTCTAGTTAGTAAAGCGACAGATTCATTTAGGAATAAAAAATAAATTAATTGGCACTTTAAAATCAAAAAATAATAATCTCCAAAAATTAAAAGCAAGAAGATGGCGATCGACGTAATGCCCGCATTTTCATTTCAATTAGCCCCAATTCCTTTCTCACAACATCAAAAGCTATATTTACCCATTCTGGACCTAATTCTTGAGAAATTTTGAAATAATTTGATTCCTTCTTTTGGTCATTTTCTGTTGAGATTAAAGTTTCAAGCCAACAAATTTTTGGTTCCTCTTGAGGGATTAAATCACAAACGAGTTGTAAATGTTCGAGTAGAGAGGCTTTAAAAATTATTTTTTGATTAATAAAAATTCGAAAGCTTGGTTAGTAGTTAAGTGAAAGTTTCCGCGAAAGTAGGGTCAAAGAATTTTGCAAGTACGACTTTCGATAAAATCAAAATACGAGTTAAAGTTTTGATTTTGACAATCCCCAATTTTTCAATAATTAATTAAAACAACAATATTCAAAAATAAATACCTGATGTAATTTCTTTGCCAAGTTTTTGCAATAAACTTTTCTCAGATAAACCAACACTAAATCTTTGTTCCAAATTTAAATGTGCTCTAATCACCTTTTTAATAAAATAATATATAAAATACCTCCAAAATAAAATTTTATATACCTCTAAAATAGATTTGTCAAGTCGATTAAGTAATGCCCGGCGTTTTTCCATTATTGACAGTCCCCCTTTTTGAGCCTTTTCATTTGCAGTAAATTTTGCTCTCAACTATTACACAATTTTTAATTTCTAAAAATTTAATTATAAAAACCCTTTCTTGTATTGGAGTCATTGGTGGGAGTGATTTAGAATCATCACATTGTTTAGGTGTTTGTGGGGCTGAAGAAACTGCAAGTTTTTTAAAAAGAGTTGGAGGCCCTTCAATTTTTTGTTCTTGATTCGGCCGTTCAGGCGTTTTCTCTCTTTCAATTTTTGTTTCTTTTTTAACACTCTAAAAAGAAAAATATTACTTACTAAAAAACATTGGCACAAGTAAAAAGGTATTTTCTGTGGTAATTTTTCTGCTGAGAATTTCTTATTTTTCTTTAAGCATTTCAATATCACAAGCAAAAAACACCCTTAAACTTTACCAATGAAAAATATTTTTAAAAACCTTAAGAAACATTCGAATATCAGTTGTTTGTAAATTTGCTCCACAAGATTTTGGACGGCTTGGAATAGCCCCATCTGTCAAAATATCACCAACTAATTCATTTATTGACTTTTTAAATTCTGGATGTAAATTCTGATTATCATCAAATTCAACTAAAAATTCCTTTCTAAATTTTTTAATAGAACTTAAAAAAACATTTCTTTTCTTCTAAAAATTTTGAATGTGCCTCTCGTACTTTTCCAACCAGCGAATGACGAAAAATCAATTTTCTCCATTTTAATCGATTTGCATCCATTTTAACACGCGTATCAGGAATTGGAGAACTAAATAAGGAATATTAAATAATTAAAATTAATTTAAAAGAAAACCTAAAAATAACAGCATTTCTTGGCTTTTTTGGCGAGAAAATATTGCAATCTTTTCTTGCTGGACTTTTAAGTGGTGAAATTAATTTTACGGGAGTAAGTGAAGGAGGACGTTTATTAGGGGAAGAAGACACACTATTTGGCATCGCCCATTTGTTATTATCGTCTTCTCCAAATTTATTTGGGCTATTTAAAAGTGGAGTATTTGGAAGTGAAGAAATTGAAGCCAAAAAACTGTCCACAAATGGAGATAAATCTTTAAAATAATTTAAAAAATCTTTTAAAAAATATTCAATTTAAACCTTTATTTCCAATCAAATTTGGCTGTATAACTAATTCCCAAAGACCTAATTGAATTGCACGTCTATCCCTTGCACGTTCCCAACGAAGTGTATAAGCTGTTGGATATAAGGAAACAATTTGTGCCAAATGTTTTTCTGTGAATTTTCTAAAAAAACACCTTCAATATTAATCAACAATTTAAAATACTTTTTGGTATTTTTCTCAACATTTGCAGACAATTCATCAAAAGTTTTACGTTGATCACGTCCATGGGCAGCCTGAAGAATCTTTAAAAAAGCAAAAAATATCCATAAAAACTAAAAAAACCTTTTCAGTTTCATTAAACAAAGTCACTAAAATATTAAATTTATTCGGAAGATGAGCAAATCCATGATCTCTTTTTAATTCCTTTGGAATTGGAACACCTAAAAAACAAAATTATTTAAAATAATTAAAATCAAAAACAACCACTCAATGAGAAATTAGGCCGTAGACGTCGAGGAAAATAATCGTTACACAGATTTGTCTTCATAAACTTTTTTTATTGAACTAAAAAAAATAAATTTAGGTAAATAAAAATAAACATTATTATTGATCAAAAGATTTTCTTTTACGACTTTTCGCTAAAATACTTTATGCCAAAAATGCGCAAATTTACAATTTAAAATAAATCTCCTTTGAAATTTTAAGTAAATACAGTAGGGAAATTACCGATTTTCTCAGTTTAAAATTCATTTTTGGAAACAGTTTCGTTTTGTCAAGGGTGTAAAAATTAAATAAAATTCCCAGGTTCAAGTTCTTAATTCAATTTCTAAAGTTTATCTTTTTCGTGAAATCAGGATTGTAAATTACAAAGCAATTGAGCCAATACATAATTTACACTTTAATAAACTTTTACTTCATTATGCATAGTACATATAATTTTTTTTTTTAATTTTGATTTATTATCTCTTTCAATTTTCCTCTTATAATTATTTTATTTTTTAAATAAATTACTAAATAATATTTCCTCTCTCTCGATTTGAATGACTTAAAAATTTGTTTGCCCATTTTTGCATGACTCTTTTTTCAATTTTTGTTCAAGCTAGCCATGGGAATGGCCAAATTTGTGCCCTGAAACATTTTTGCAACGGGAGCGGTCCTCAATGTTTGCACAGCTTGCACATTCGAAGGGATCTTTACTTATTGAAGGATGAGAGAGGATTGTTTAGGTACAATAAGCTAAAAAATTTCTTTTTTAGGTTTAACCTTAAAATTTTATTTTAAATGCTTTTATTTCTTGATTATTAAGTAAAATAAAAATAAATAAAGATGTTAGTTTTAATTATTAGTTTTAATCTTGCAATTTAAAAGAATTTTATTCGAATGATTGTTTGGAGATTAAGAGAAAATTCACAATAATTAACATCCTAGAAATACTTTGATTAAATTTTTAAAGTAAAACTTATTATAACAAAATATTTTACACAAAATTTAACCAGCCATCTTAATTATAATAATATAATAATAATTTACTGCAAATCCAGGTATCATACAACAACATAAAACATTGCTAAATGATGCTACATTTTTAGTGGATAAGCCAAGACTTTAACCCCCCTGGCCATAGATTCGGAAGTAATTATGTAGATACAGTTACTGAACCATAATTTTTATACATATATAGTTTCAAAGAATTAATGAGCTGTTGACTATTTAGTTTTTAGAAGGAGATTAAAGTACGGTGACAAGTCATGTTAAAAATTAAAGCCAAACTACCGTATTTATTCTAATAGAGTGGCCGCCACTCTATTTTTCGATACCCCCAAAAAGGGGCCATTCTATTGGAGGGGCCATTCTAATGGAGGTGGCCATTCTATTTTTCATAGGTAAAAATCAGAGATAGGATGAATCAAATGTTCGATCGAATATACTTTGACTTCGAAATTTAATCGATTTTTCGTGTAAAATTCTATATTTTCGACTTTGGTTAGTGAATTTTTCTTTTCGTAACACTATAAAACATAAAAATCTTTTGCCTGCTGGGCAAAAAGGCAACTTTTAATTTACTTTGGTTCCAGACAATCAAAATTTCCGGTATAGTTTGCTCAAAAGTTCGTGGGATCTCGGAATTTGGACGTAATATATGGGAATTGGGAGAGATTTGGAGGAGGACTTCATTAATTTAATGAAGAGAGGAGGACTTCATTAAATCGTTGTAATTTCTTGATATCCCTCCTAATCCTCTCAAATCCCCTAATATCCCTCTTAATCTCCCTTTTATGACTCCAGATTTGCTCGAAAATATTATGATTATCCTTACTAAAGAGTAATATTTAATACATAATAGGAAAATAAAGAAATGTATTCAGGCATATACTTATTAGTTAAAAGGGCCATTCTATTAGAGGGCCATTCTAATGGAGGTGGCCATTCTATTTTTCATTACCCCCAAAAAGGGGCCATTCTATTGGAGGGGCCATTCTAATGGAGGGGCCATTTTATTAGAATAAATACGGTACTTTCTATTATTAGTTTAAAAAATATTAAAAATAAAATAATTTTCTTGTTAAATTAACTAAAAATAAATGTAAAGTGTGTAGGTATACATTAATTTTCATTATATTTAAAAATGATATATTTGCTCAAAACTTTTGTTAAGAATTTCGTAATCGGTTTTGTTGAATAGCTTTTTGTTGTTTGAGAGAGGAAAAAAAGAACAACGGCACGCCTGCCACTGGTTATGGAGAAAAAATAGACGGTCATCATCATCATTAACGGCAGCAAATCTCTTTATTTTTTTCATCATTTAACCCCTTCCCCTTCTGAACGTTGGCCCAAACCCTTCGGGGTAAACACTCACATTCATTGCCTTCCGTCGCTACTTTTTGGATTTTCTCTTGAAAATAAATAAAATAAACATTCCCCCCCCCCCTCATTTAATATATTAATTGAAATAAAAATATTTTTTTGATTGGTTACAGTTAAATCTCAATAATTTGTAATAATTAAAGTTTTTTCTCTCAATTATGTTAATATTTCAGCTAACCTTACAATAAAAATTATCAAATATCAATTAAATGAATGTAAACATTAATTTTTCATAATTATAGTCATTAACATCACCTAATTTAGTTAATTTTTATTTCATTATGTTTCAATTTCCATTTTCAATTTCTTGTCACCCAATACAATCAAATTCTTCTTCTTCCTCCTCCCCATCTTCTTCCTGTTGTTCTTTATTTCCTTCACAATATTTAATGCCTATAAATGATGGCCAACAACATATACAACAGCAACCAGAAACTCCTTACCAACAAAATACTTTACAAAGGCATTTTTTTATTTTTTTAAAATCTTTTCCAAACACAAACACTTTTTATTTTTATATAAATTTTTATTTCGTCACAGTTTGGATGTAAGCTCATTGACTGATGACCAGTTGGAGTGCCTTTGTTTAGTTCTAGAAAATTTTGAGAATTTCCGGGGTTTGGTTAGTTTTTTTTGTTTAAAAATATTTTTTATTTAAATATTTTCTTTTAGGAATTATTACTTAATTTACTCCCTCCAACAGTTCCTGAAAAAAGTTTAGCCAAAAGTGTTTTACTTCGAGTTAAGGCTGTTTTATTATTTCATCAAGGTCGATATGAAGAATTTAAAGAATATATAAAATTAAATAAATTTAAACAAAGAGATCATAATTTATTGCAAAATTTGTGGAATGAAGCTAATTATGCGGAGGTTATTAAAAATTTAAGGGAAAAATTTTCTTAAAATAATTTTAAAAACTATTTAAAAATATTCTTTAAAATTTAAAAAGTTGAAAAAAAAGGTTACATACCTAACTTAACAAGGAATATAAAAATGAAATTCTCGATTTCGGCACGGCTCGTTCCCTTTTAAGAATTCTTTCTTTTTAATTATTTCTTTCACAATTTTAGGCTTCAAAACAACGTACTAAACCCCTTGATGCTGTTTCACGTTATCGTATTCGTAAAAAGAATATTTTCCCTTTAAGTATTTGGGATGGTGAAGGAACTAGTTATTGTTTTAAAGTAAAATTTAAATTAAAAAATTAATTTTTTAATTAAAAATTAAGAAAAAAGCGAGAGAAATACTTAAACAAGCATACAAAATAGATTCAATACCAAATATTCAAATAAAACAAGAATTGGCAAAACAAACAGAATTAAGTGTTTTACAAGTATCTAATTGGTTTAAAAATCAGAGACAAAGAGCTAGACAAAATATTCGGTTCGGAAATTAAAAATTAAATAAATAAATATATTTATTTTTTAGAGAAAGTAAACAATTAAAAAATGAAAAAATATCTGAAGAATGTAATTGTTGTAGTGATTATGCTGAAAGTGAAGGAAGGCAGTCAGTAAATCAAAAAGGCTAATTATTTATATTGAATTTTTTAATAAATTTTAATTTTAAATTAGTCTAAAATAAATTTATATATTTAAAATAAATATTCTCTAATTCTTCCCTTTATTTATTTTTAAATACTTCTGGCCATCATTTAAAGTTTTGTTGAAAATGATTATTTGCGGCGAAGAAGAAAAAAGGCCAATAAACGATTTGAAGGAATTTTTAAAAAAATACCGCCGATTAAAAAAAAGTAGGAAAAAAATTGGGAGAGAAATAAATAAAAAATTAATTTTTGTTTATTTGGGATTTTATTTATAAAGTGAAAAGTAATTAATGAAAATGTTTTGAAAAAATAATTTTGAAAAGTTGAAAGATTTTTAATAAATATATTTAATTTATTTTAAATTAGAGAATATTAAGAAATACCTGAAAAATAAATGTTAAATTTAAAATAAATATTTATTCTTAAATTTAAAATAAAAGCTTAGACAGGATCTTCTAGATATTGGCCAACAAAATTAAATACATATGTAAATGCATGAACGTTAAAAAATACTGACAATTGAAAAATAGTAAGTATTATAGTAGGCCGAGAATTTAATAAAAGAAAATTATTGTAAAATTTTCTTTTTGTAAAATGTTATTGTATTTGTTATTGTAAAATGAAAATTAATTTCTTTTGACAAATAATACAAGTCTTAAACATTAAATGAATAAATGTTAAATTTTTATTTAAAAATATTTTTTAAATATTTTTTGTTATTTTTATAATTAAACTTTTTAGCTTCTTTTTAAAAAGGTTAAGAGAGGGCATCAACACCTGCTGGGTTTTTCCTCTTCTCCAGCCCACTTTCTCTCTACTTTTTTGTTAGTTTTATGTAAAACATTAGTAGTTAGCTAACAAACTTCATCATCTTTGTGTGAAGAAGAAATAAAACAAATATTTGGACAAGCAAACAAATAGGATATGATTAAGTGCTTCAAAATATTTTTAGTAGCTTATTTGGATGGAAGTTTAAGAACAAATAAATAATTATATATTTAAATAAAAATGAGAACTTTGAATATCGTGTATTAATTACCCTCTCTCAAATACTTTAATTAATGAAACATTTTAAGGATCAATATCGAAATAATCAATTTCGTCCTCATTGCATTAAGATTCAGCCCAAATGCAGGGCTGAATCTCTCAAAAATTTCGATTGTCCAAACAGTAAATCTGTACGGGATCAAAAGTTTTAAGGAGGTATCGGTTATTTCAAGCGATGGAATAATATCGGTGGATTTATTGGGATTAAGTTGGATTTGGGGAGATAATTTGGAGGGATATTTGAGGTTAAAATTATTTTGAAGGTTATTCTCAAGGGATTGGGAAAGGGTAAAGTATACATAGTTAGGTTAGAAATCAATGGAGTTGGAAATCTTCACTGAATAGCTTTAATCTTTTGATATCCTTTTTAGTCACCAAATCTCCCGATATCACTCTTAATATCCAAATCCACCCTTAATCTCTATAATTCCCCTGTATCACTCTTTAAACACAAAATCACTGATATCCCCCAACCGCTTCGGAAAACTCTGGCTTCGTGTTCAAATTTTTAACTGACACGACCAGAAACCGACCCGGGACCCGAAACACGGACTTTTTCTCGATCCGAAACCCACCGGAGGAAAGTTTTCTCAACCCGTGACATCCCTGGTATAGACTAGGAAATAATTACAACTAGAATGTTCCAGATCAAGGCTTTTAACACGATTTCAATTATATATTAAAAAATAAATACGAAATTGTTTTGTAAAAATATTATTTAAAACAACCTTCTGGATAAAAGACAAAAAGCAATAATGCATGGGCAAACGTGTTTTTTTAATAAAGTCTTGGTCTCATTAAATAAATCGAAACTTTTGTATTTAAAATAAAAATTCTCAAAAAAATAATATAAAGAGGTGAACATATGAAAGAAAAATAAAGACAACAAAACAACCGTATTCCTGTTTCTTAGCTTAAGAGTGAGAGGAAAGTAAAAAAAGATGAAATATTATATCCCTTCGGTTATTCGCCGCTTTCAAACAAAAAATTCTTTACTTTACCTCTACATATTCCTCTATATTTTTCATTTCTTTTAAAAAAGCCAAATGCTTCTTCTTTTCGTTATCCACAAAAAGCACCGCCCTTTCCGTTAATTCTAAGGCTTTTCTTTTATCCAAGAGCTTTTTTTATTTTCTTTTTGCCCATTCAATCCCCTTTGGCGCATTTTGTGGATTGAATTTCTCATGAACAAATACTTCCAAATAACTAAAAAGCTAACAGACTTGGCTTTCTCAAAACCTTTTATTTTCCATCATTTTCCCTCAATTTCAGAAATTTGCGCGAGAAATTACAACAAATATCGACTACTATATATCTTTGAAGGAATCCAATACTTTTTATTTTCAATATATTCTTTTTTGCTTTGAAAGCAACCTGAGCTTCGATATTTTTTTTTAATCCAAAGAAAGAAAAAAAAGAATAATCATCTCTTACTTTTTACTCATTTTTCCTTTTTTTGTGACACTTCAAATTGAGACGATACTTACAACTTGACACCGTCTCGAAATCGGAGCTGAACTATTTTAAACAAAGAAGTAGAAAATGGCTATTGCCCAACAGAATTACTGCCAACAAAGGTGTGTAAAAGAAGAAAGGATTATGTGTATATTTTTAAATTTAATTAAATAAATATTTTTGAAAATAAAAGTAAAAATTAGTAATTTTAAATTAATTATTTTTTATTACCATTGTAATGAAAATTTAATTTTAAAAAAGTTTATATTTGGAGCTTTAAAAAATTATTTTAAAAATTTTTACATTTTTTAAATTAAAATTTCAGTTTTTATTCTGATTTTATATATTCTGTCGAACAAGTTAATTTTTTATGTGAAGTTATGCAAAGACATAATTTAATAGACAATTTGGTATTTTAAATTTTAAATAAAAAAATGTTTTTTTTAATTTAAGGCAAGATTTTTATGGACAATTCCACCAATAGAAGAATATCGTTATAGTGAAAGTGTTTTGAAAGCCCAAGCTTTTATTTCTTTTCATAAACATAATTTTAAAGAATTATATACAATATTACAATCACATAATTTCTCTCCTATACATCACCCTGAATTACAGGCAAAATTTAAAATAAATTTAAATATTGTTATTAGTATTTTGTGACTGAAAAAATGTACACCAAAGTGAGAAGGGTTAACGTGGGTTAACATTTGTGAGGTCTGACTGTAATAAAAAATCCTTTGAATTAACTTTCTATCTCTCTATATTAAATTAGAAAAAATAATTTTTTCGTTTAGGACCTTTGGATGAAAGCACATTATTGTGAGGTAAATAAATATATATTTACTTATTTAAAATTAATTTCTTTTAAAAGGCAGAGAAAATTCGTGGACGTGAGGTGGCTTTAATATAAATTTTTAATTATTTTAGTATATTCAGTATTTCAGGAAACTTTGGGGGCTGTAAGTAAATATCGAATTCGGAGGAAATTTCCGTTGCCAAGAACTATTTGGGATGGAGAAGAAACTAGTTATTGTTTTAGGGTAAATTTTGAAGAAAAATAAGATTATTTTTAAAAAACATTTTAAAGGAAAGTTCTCGAGCAATTCTTCGTTTATCTTATCGAGAAAATCCTTATCCATCACCGAAAGCCAAAAAAGAATTAGCTGAGAGAACTTCATTAACCCAAACACAAGTATCTAATTGGTTTAAAAATAGAAGGCAAAGAGATAGAGCAGCTGGAGGATCTAGGTAAAAATTTAAAATATTTAATAGAAAGACTGCCCCAAAAAGTAAACAAATTTGTAAGAATTTTAGATTTTGTGCATTTGGAACTTTTAACAGCCATCTTTTCATTTCATATCTATTCTAGGTAATATATTTCTCGGCCAGAAACCCCCCCCCCCCCCCCCCAAAAAAATAAATCTCACTGAATTTTAAAGCCAGCATTAAGTAAATTTTTGAATAAAATAAATTTAAAATAGAGATGGACAACCTCCTCTTTCCCATTCTGTTGACAGAGATGAAGAAGAAGTATTTACTTTTATTAATGGAGATACTTCTGCAGCTGAAGATGAACAACAAATTTCAAATTCTTTAATTAATCCACCAACAACCAATATATTTAATAAAAAAACAAAAAAAGAAGAAAAAGAAGAAGAGGGAATATTATTAAATAATAATCAAATTATTTTAGAAAATAATAAAATTGAAGAAAAATATTTATTAAAAACAATAAATAATTCAGGTAATTTTGGAGGGGGAAGGGGAAATTTAAAATAATTAAATGTTAAAATAAATGAGAGAGATACTTCTCCAGTTTCTGATTCTGCAAAAATATTTTTAAAAACTTCTTTTTTTTAGTTTATACCCCTTCTTCTTCTCTCTCCACATCATTTCAAAACAGAGAGGGAATAAATGATAATAATATTATTATAAATCCAAAAATTTTAAATAATTTTCATCAAAATATAAATCAAACAATGTTGGGGAACGGTGGGGGAATAGCAGCAGCTTGGATGGGTATAGCATACGGAAATGGAGGAAATGGAAGAGGAGTAGATCCTAGAAGGTATTAAATAAATATTAAATTAAAAAATGGTTGATAATAATATTAAATCCTGATGGAAATATTGCTAGAAAGTGAGGATCTAGTTAGCTAACATTTTGGGGTTTATGAGAGAAAATTAATTAATAATTTACTAACAATAAGTCAGTATTGATAACATTATATTCTAATATTTAAAAATTTTATTTAAAGATTTGTATCATCATTTGGCATTCAAAATTCAAATAATTCAATATTGCCGCCATCTAATATTGAAACAAATTCAATTATTAATTGTCAACAAATTAATAATAATTTTTCTTCTTCCTCCTCCTCATCATTTACTATTCAACATCAAGAAAATCAAGAAATGTCAATTAGTTATCAAAACCTGTGAAATTAAAAAGAAATAATATTTTTTACAAAAATAATATATAAAAGTTTTTTTATTATTTAAAATATTTTTATATATGTTAAAAATTTAAAAAATATTTATTAAAAAATTTTAAATTCAAATACAAAATTATTATTTAAATTTTTAAAAAATTTTATCAAAAATATTCCACATTTCGTTTATACCAAAAATAAAGGGAATTTAAATCTAATCTTTTAAAATTTTTTTTTTGGTTGGACTTTATTTTAAGATTTTCTGTGCTATTTTGTTTTTATGTATCTTTTTTTATTAAAAAGGGGGGGGGAATGGACCGGTTGTTTAGTGTAAGGAAGATAAATATATTTTTAATATTTTTTTCTTCAGCCATTTTTGGATGTTTTTTATTCACCAACAACATCAAAATCTCCTCTCCTCTCTCCCTCTCTCTTTTTTTCTTATCAAATCCATTATTAATTGTTATTATTTTGTTCCACTCTTCTGCTACTTTTCTAATACCTTCACAATCCAAAAATATTTATTTTTTCCGCTACAACGCTCGATTTAATCGTAGATCCGCCCCAGGCTGTTCTCTCATCTCTAATCTTTTCCTTTCTTTTTTGGCTTGTTTTAGGCTCTTCATTTTATTCTTGTTGCGTGTTTTTAAATTTGGCTGTTTGATTTTTTATATTAAGCCGAAGATTACATACTAAAGAGGACGAGAATAAACAGAAAAAAGCACAACTTCTCTTTCTCTCCCCAAAATAATAAATATTCACTCAAGCATTTTAAAAATATAAAAATTTTGTGAACAATATTTTGTTTTAAAAAATAATTTTTTTAAATTTAATTTTTTCTGCATAATTATTTAATTAAAATGATTGCTGTCTCAGAAATTTGTCTAAGAAAAATATTAATTAAATTAAAAATGCCAAGAGAAAAAAGGAAGAGAAATAATTTATTAAAATCTTTAATATTTATTAAATTAATATTAATTAATTCAATTTTTGGAATTTCTGACGGAGCAATTAAATTAAATATAATGTGCAAGGTATTCAAAAAAATATTTTTTAAATTTCTTTTTTTAAAAGGATCTCTTTACTTGTACAGTGAAAAATCGGTAATTAAAAAATTCTTTTTCAAAAATTATTCTTAAAAAAATAATATTTGTAGTTGTGTTCAATTAGATAGTTTACAAAGTTCTTTTGAAAATGCAACTATTGGAAAAAATCTTTACAATGAATTAGATAAAAATATAGATTATGGATGTATATTTACATCTGGATGTATGGAAGAGTAAGCAGAAATAAATAAAAATTGAAAAATAAAAATATTTAAAAGGTGTAATAAATGTCCTCTTTGTATGACAAGCAAACAACAGGTTTGTAGTAGTAAATATCAGGGATATCCTGCTGTCCTTATTCCCGAAAATTTGTCAGTAGAATCCCTGATATATACATACATTTATAAGTATGTAGTCTTTCAAATTCAGAGAGATATTTACTCGAAACATTTAAAAAAACTATAAAATTATACATCTTTTTTGTTATTTTGGTACTTTATGGATATGTCACCCCCCCTCCTATTTTGAGTCTTAGAGTTTTTCTTAAACGTAGTAAATGGTGAGAGATTATTTTCTTCTCCATGTCAATCATTTTTTTCTTCTTCAAGTATTTTGCTTGTTTATTTTGCCTTTTCACATATTTTGTACTTACATTCCACTCATTTCGTTTCTACATTTACCACATTTCACTTATTTTGCTTGAAGAAAGAAAAATGATTGACATGGAGAAGAGAATAATCTCTGACCATTTTCTACGTTTAAGGAAAACTCTGAGACTCAAAATAGGAGGGGGGTGACATATCCATAAAGTACCGTTATTTTTAAATTAAAAATTATTTTATAAAATTTATATTTTTTTAGTTAGTTGATGTTCTTTCGGGAAATAGAAGGGCTAATGATGGTTAACATTTATAATTATTCAATTTAAAAAAAAATATTAAAGGTGAATGTGCTATACTTGTTAATTGTGCTGGAGAATGTGTAAAAGAATCTAATCAAGATTTAACTAAAATCAGTTATTGTCTGAGGCAACAAAAAATATTTTTAATTTTTTAAATATTTTTTATTTTTAGGCATAAATGTGCTTTTCATTGTTTTGATGGTTCTTGTCCAAAATGTTCAGCATTTGTTACTAGAATATTTAATCAAATTTGTGTTGTTGGTGATTTTCGTAAAAGAATACAGGAATGGAAAGTAATTTAAACAGAAAAAAAAATAAAAAAATAAATTTAACTAAAAAGGGTCATTGTTATGAAATGTTTCGTGCAATTGTTATGGCTAAATTTGAAGAAGAATTTGTTAAATCGGGAGCGGTCAGAATTTAAATAAAATATATTTAATTCCTCGTCTTTTTTAGACACCTTCAATTGGTAATAGGAGTGGGGCTGTTGGTTTAATTGGTGGAATTGTTCAACGGCGAGCACGTTTAGTTTGACAATAAAATTTTATTTTAATTGTGAAAACCCAGCCGAATTTTATCTTTTTAAAAATATTTGGATATTCTTTTAAAAAATGTTTTTTAAATTAAAGTGACATAGAAATAACTTGAAATAAATTATTTTTGGAAGGGTCAATTGTTAGTAACTTTTCGAATAATTTTCATTTTTCGTGTTTTCAAAATTTACTATCTTCCCCTCATAGTTATGACTAAATTTCAAATAGTTATTAGAAAAAAATAAAAAGATTATCCAATTAATTTAATTTTAGAAATAAATTATAATATATTTTTGTATTAATTTAGTAATTTATTTTGTTTCTAATAAAAATTACAAAACAAAAAATATTTCAAAAATTAACAAATATTTAATTTACGCAGCATTTTTCTCAATCGCTTGCCTTAATTTATTTCTTGTCTTTTCAATTAACTCTTTATGATCTTCTATATTTTTAGCCGCTTCGGTCAGAGTTAATTCAGTCCGTTCACTGCAAAATATTTAATAAAATTATTTTTTATTTTTAAAGTAAGAGGTCCTCAAAAATGTTCTTGATAGATCATTCCCATGTGAGGATTTAGTTTTATAATTTTGTTAAGAATCGACAAATCTAACCGAAAATAGTATCATTTGACCCGGCCTAAAGAGCTCCTTCAAATTGTATAGGATAGATTATAGATCAGCAAAGAAGCTCAAACTGGCCAGGGGAAGGAGCCCAAACAAATTACCAAAAATACCCAACATTTATAGGTCCTCATCATAAATAAACTCACATTTCTTTTTGTATATAATCAATTCGTTTCTGAACATTTTCTTTTGCCTCCCCCAATTCTTGTTTAACAAGTACAGGACCAATTAATTTGAAGACTTCAGCGCCATCCTCAAGACGATCCAACTCCTCCTTAACCATTTTATTTTCAGTCATCTGACTCTCCAATTGCTTCCTATTTGTAATACAACGAGTTCTGTCTAAAATATCAAAATTTTTAAAAAATACAACATATGATAACCTCTCTCCAATTGTCTCATTTTTTCAACATCTTGATCAAAAGATGACTTCAAATTTTCCAAAGATTCCATTCTAAAAAATCTAAAAAAATATTTTTTAATTCAAAAATAAGTAGATATTTTTTAATTAAAAAAATAAATTTAAATGTAACAAATTTTAAAATATTTAATCCCAATTTATAAATTCAAAATAAATTAAAAAGCAAAATAAATTAGATTCTTCGAGACAAAAACAAACTTTCAGAATACAAACAAAATTCAAGTAAGTAGAGAGGAATATATTCATCAAAATAAATTGTTTTATTTTCATTCTCTAAAAAGACATCGTTTAGGCCGGTTACATTGTTTTTTAAAAAGAGGTGAATTTGTATGAATTATATAACCACGTTCTAATTGTTCATTTAAAGAAGGAAAGTCGAGATCCCAATAGTGATCTGGCGTTTTTGGCATTGACAATTTATTATCTAGTTAAAAAAGAAATTTTAATTCTGGGTCTGGGTGAGCTATTCTCAAAAGATTTTCTTCCTTGAGAAGGAAGAAAATCTACCATTATGTATATTCTTACAATTAAGGAAGGTAAAAAAGGGGGGATAAAGTGAACTATTACCGAATATGGTAACCCAATAAGAATTTGTTGCAAACATTTAAAGTGTATAAGCAAAATATGTAAATACTTATCAATATAGCTAGAATATTTGCATCAATTTTGCGTATTTATGACACTCAGTAACTGATTAAAAACATTTACCAAGCTCTTAAATACGCTCTAATCTAGAGATGAATTCTATAAAATAATAATGAGAAAACAAACCTTGGATTTTGGAAATAGTCCTATCATTCAAACGCTTGAGGGCGTCACCTTCTCGCCCGCCAATAGAAGAGGACGGCATTGAATCAACAACAGACTTTGGCTCAGTTTCTGGACGTGAGGGTTTCTTGAAAATAAACTAAACTTAATAAACATTAAAGTCCAACCTCCCGTTTTGCTGTTTTTATACAAAGGATACTAAGTTCATCCGTCGCTTTGTCTCCATCTTGAATTTCCTCGCGTTTTCTTTCTATGTTCTCGTCTGCTATTTGAACTCTACATCCAGTTTGCTGCTGATTGAGCTGTATCTGAAAATAGGTTTTGATTATCACATATTAAAAAATCAACCAACTCTAACCTGACTTTCAGGGATGTCAACGTCATCGACGAGTGTCTCGCTCACCGGTGGACCCATTCCCATGCCAGCCATGCTTTCTGTACCGTTGAGCTTCTGCGTCTTGCAGGTAAAATAAAAAATTAGAAAATAAATCTGTACGAAAAAAACTTTATAGATAAAGAAGAATTCTGAATCGGCGGAATTCAATTGGGAGTGGATGTTTCAGAGTAGCCCTTTCAGAGTAGGGATGATTCATTGCATTCTTGGTAATGGACAATGGATTTTGGTATCCTTGTCCGGATATTTACGGCTGGATATCCGCAGGCATTTTGAAATAATCTGTATTCGTATCCATTACTAATTCTGATTCATTGTAATTCGTTCATTGTAGTAAATTTTGTACATGCTAGAAAATATTTTTCCTTTAAGTTTTTTTACTTTACGTTTTAAAGAAAAATTAAAACCAGCCAATACTTTTCTTGTTTTTATGGCTTCACGTAGACGTGCAATAGGTGTTGGAGCTGTTCAAAAGAAGCAAGATATTCAAGTTTTTAAAATTTATAATTAAAAATTATTTCATAATATATTTCAGGCTAAATTTCAAGCAAAAGGTGAACAGTTGGCAAGTGAACAACTTCAACACTTTTCTCAACAATTGGATGTATTTACTGGAAAGTTGGAAGAATTTGCTTCAAAACACCGTGATGAAATAACAAAAAATGCACAATTCAGACGTTACTTTCAAGAAATGTGTACGACTGTTGGTGTTGACCCTTTGGCATGTAAACAAACATTTAAATAAAATTTAACATTTAAATAAATTATTAAGCAAGCAAAGGATTCTGGACAGAGAAGTTAGGCTTTGGTAGTTTTTATTACGAACTTGCTATTCAAATTATTGAAGGTTTACTTTTTGTTTTCCAACTAAAAAATATTCAAACATTCTTTTAGTTTGCATGTCAACAAGTCAAGAAAATGGTGGATTAATTACAGTTGACGAATTGCGTAATAGATTGATGCGTTCTCGTTCAAAAACTCGAAAAGAATCAATCTCCCAGTAATCAATTTTAAACTTTAAATTAATTTTTAATTTTATTATAGTGATGATGTGATGCGTGCTGTTAAAAAATTAAAAGTATTAGGACATGGTTTTGAATTAATTGCACTTGGTGGTGATCGTTTTCTTGTACAAAGTGTGCCTGGAGAGTTAAGTATGGACGATGCAAGAGTTTTACAATTGGCAGAAGAAACGGGCGGTTATGTCAGTCAAGAATTAATCTGTGATCAATTTAGATGGGATACACAAAGAATCGGGAGGGTTCTTGACAGACAAGTAAAAGATGGAAGAGCTTGGGTTGATGAACAAACTGATCCAATACAATTCTGGTTTCCTTCTCTATTTTTGGAGCAATTTTCTCTTGTTACAACTGTCGGAGGAAGTGAAACAGCAAGTATGCTTTCTTCGAGCATGCGGTGATTATTAGACTATTTGGACCGGTGCTTGGATACCCGTACTAAAAGTATCGGGAGGGTTCTTGACAGACAGACAGAATCGGGAGGGTTCTTGACAAAAAGTACGAGCAAATGTAAATATTACGATGACTAGAGGCCAAAATTAGTGATAGTTGAAGTGCGAGTACGAGCTAAATCGAATTTCCAAGCACTGATTCTGACTACTTTAAAATTTGCTATCATTTATTTCGTTTAGCACAAATTTAATGAATGTATATGATATTCTGAAATAAATGACATTCTGAAAAAAACCCTTTTTATTTGTTCCACAAATGTTTTGTATAAGTATATTACTTATTTAAATTTATAGTAATTCCAGATACCCTTATTCAAGGCTTATATTAAGGACTTTGTTGAACATTTTCAGTTATTCAAATAATCAAATATTTATCCACAAGTTTATATTAAAAACAATTTACAATTGAGAGGCTCATTTTTGACCTGTTGAGAATATGTAACGATAGTATTTATATAATTTAAATAGTGACATAGAGAGAGAGAGTCATTTTTAAATAGAATAACACAAACACGTAATTAAAAAGCACACAAAGAAAACTGGGAACAATACCACTATCGTCGAATGCAATTAAATATCGGGTTTTGTCGCTAGAAGTCTCTTGAGTACTTTCTATTTTTCTTCTACTGGAATATCTGAAAATTGGAGAAATTTGCTTACTCAGAATTTATTTATGTCCCCAAAGAACTTACTCAAATTCTTCATTAACATTTTCCACCAGTGTTTAGTAGGCCGGTCTTGGTCTAACAAAGTCTTGAATGTTTCGTCTTTAAGCTGGTCAGGCAGGCATTGTGTTAATGCTTGCAAGGCACGAGCGTTCTCAGACAGACGATGATAGCAACGAATCAAATGCTTCAGAAGCCGACTCGAAGGTTCTTTAGAAAGTTGAAGCACCATCTTGCCCTTTAAAACTTTTAATAAGTTTTAAAAGCTTTATCAACCAACCAAAACCATAGCTACATGAGAAAACCGTTCATATGTCTGGCAAACATAGGCGAGACCAATGTCATCCAAAAGGACTTTCTTAATTAAAAATATTAATTTCTCATTTTTCCCTAAACTAAAAAAACCTGCAAGATAAACGTAGCGACAGTTCGTGATAATTCTGTCCCTTGTTCCATAATTCTCAAACATAATGGAATTATTTCAGTAGAAAGTAAAAATTTGACAACCTTAAAAATAAAATTCAAAATTATTCAATTCCACCCGCAAACTCACGTCTTTTTCATCGGTCTTTACAAGCGCTCCAAGAACTCCAAGAGATGTTAATCTGAGATATTCGAATGGACGAGAATCATTGGTTGTGTGCAAAAATGGATAGAGGTATAATGGAATTTTAGCTATAAAGTTTAAATTAAAAAAAGTTAATTCAGAGAACTGACTGGTATTTATTTTGTAAGTACAGACTTTATTTAATTTAATAAGTTAATTTTTACTTATGAAATTGAAAATACAATTATTTGTTAGTACATACTTATAAATTGACTTTTTTGGTTTATTAGCCTGCGGTGCTAAAAAAGAGGAAATCTAGCATCTTGGCCTTTTGAAACTCTAAACATTTTCGCATATGGCGCTAATGTTGAAAAAAGGAAATTTATTCCAATGGGGTGTTCCAGTTTTGTTTATATTTGAACTTAAACTTCCTCCTAGCTCACAGTGAGAAAATCTCGAATTGTATTTTTGTACTTTATCTTAATATAGGAGCCCTAAGTTAATTTATCAGAAAAGGAAATACCTTCCAAAAATTGTTTTCGCGTATCACGATGTGATGCGATACACTGCATTAGAGCCAGAGCATTGCACACCCGATTCGACTGAGCTGCTGTAAGTGTTGGTGGTAGAATGTATGGATATATGCTGATGATTTCTTGTAGTAGAACACTAAATTTAAAAACCGATAAATAATTGGCTAAATTAAATTTTAAAATTCAAGTTTTTCCAGAAATCAGATTTTTAAAATTAAATTTCGAGATGTGAAAGTCACGTGACCAACTTCAGAATAGTATATAATACAGTGGAATCTATGGTGTGTAACATAATTATAAAGGAACCCATATTTTCGGTCATATCTCGAGTTTTTCTGGATGAATTTGTCTGAATTTTATATATGTGATAAAAAACGTTATTTTGGAATAAAATGCAAAAAATGAAGCAATTTCATCAAAATTTAAATTTTTTATGATTTTTTTTTCAAAAATTTGGTGTAACATAATTATAAAGGAAGTGAAAATAATTTAACTAAATATGGTAGAAAAAATCCACAAAAATTCCAGTGAACATATCTATTGATCTCAATGAGAAATACAAAAGAAATGAAGTTCAGATGTACTTCCATCATTGAGATCTCGAAACCCGAAAATCAATGGAAAACAGGGGGTAGACGTTTTTAAAAAATATTTTCGACCCCTTACAGGTGAAATAAAAATTTCATTTTGGGCTTATTTGAAAGCTCTTGAAATTTGCTACAAGATAAATTTAATCACATAATTCAGAAAAAATTTTTCTTTGAGAAATAATGAGTAAAAGCATTTTCATCACTTTTTTTGGGGGCGTTTGAGTGAATTCTTTGACATAAAAGTTTATCTTATAGGTAAATTTTTTTCAAAAAATAAAATCAATGCTAACTTGTAGCAAATTTCAAGAGCTTTCAAATAAGCCCAAAATGAAATTTTTATTTCACCTGTAAGGGGTCGAAAATATTTTTTAAAAACGTCTACCCCCTGTTTTCCATTGATTTTCGGGTTTCGAGATCTCAATGATGGAAGTACATCTGAACTTCATTTCTTTTGTATTTCTCATTGAGATCAATAGATATGTTCACTGGAATTTTTGTGGATTTTTTCTACCATATTTAGTTAAATTATTTTCACTTCCTTTATAATTATGTTACACCAAATTTTTGAAAAAAAAAATCATAAAAAATTTAAATTTTGATGAAATTGCTTCATTTTTTGCATTTTATTCCAAAATAACGTTTTTTATCACATATATAAAATTTAGACAAATTCATCCAGAAAAACTCGAGATATGACCGAAAATATGGGTTCCTTTATAATTATGTTACACACCATATATATAACGGCATCGGTTTGTCGAGGTAAGACGAAAAGTGACGTGGGAGCAAGCGTCGCTTTAGAAGGATTCCACTGACCGCGCTAGTATAAAAGCACCCGATGAAGTCAGTTTAGTTGGCCAGACAACGGTCAAGCTAGCCACTGCCTGCTCCGGGCTTGGGCAACCTAGTTTGATAGCAATAGTTGCGTAGTTCTAGCTAGCCACTGGCTGCTTCGGGCTCGGTCAACCTAGCTATGTCTACGTTAACTAGTGCGATACGTGGCCCCTTTGTGTTAAGTTGTATTCATTAGTCGACACATTGTGTAGACGGTGTTTCCTTAACCAAAGGGCTGGGTATAGTAGCCACTGCCTGCTCCGGGCTTGGGCAACCTAGCTATTACTTAGGCTAAACTAGCTACTGCCTGCTTCGGGCTTGGGCAACCTAGTTGAACCTAACCCGCTTCTTACGACCACTGCCACAATTGTTGCAATTGTCGTTTTGGTTGAGTAGGCCGATAGCCACTGCCTGCTTCGGGCTTGGGTAACCTAGTCCTACGGAAGTGGTGGAGTACAAGGTTTGGTAATAGTTCGGATGGTATACCCCATCCTTTTTCCTTCCTAAAATTATTAAAAAATGGTCAGTCTGTTATCAGATTATAGAACCCGTCGAGCTGTGTCGAGTGACACCAAATCAACTCCCGGTCTTAACTTTGGGCCGAGATACAGACAAAAATCCTGCGCAAAGCGAAGGGTTTTGCACAAGCGTCTCCCCAACGTAAAAGGATTACTTTATGTCATAACTTTGTCAAATCTTTTTCAAGTACGTTGATTTTGATGTCACTCAAATCAGCTCGACAAGCTCTTTCGAATGAGCTATCATTTGTTTAATCGAATTTTTATCCAAAAAATGAGCTTGGTCCATCTTATTATTTTTCGATTTTCGGGGGTCTGTATCTCGGCCCAAAGTTAAGATCGGAGGTTGATTTTGGTGGCATCCGACACAGCTCGACGGGTTCTATAATCTGATAATAGACTGACCATTTTTAAATATTTTGAGGAAGGAAAAAGGATGGGGTATACCATCCAAACTATTACCCAAGGTTTGCCCGTTTACAACCGTGCACCTCCTCGTGGTGTACTCTGGGCATTGATTTAAATTTTTTAAATCATTGGCTAAGCACGGTACAAACGGGAAAAATTTGATTTTGTGCCTCCAGTTTTTTCGCCAGTCCGGGTGTGAAGGCCTGGACCCCTGACTACGCTTTTAAAACATTGTAACATAACTTTGTCCAATCAAGTCAGATTTCGTTGATTTTAGTGTTCAACTCACAATCAGCTCAAAGAGCTGAATGATATGTATATAATTTGCCATGAAATAAGGAAAAAATACAAAAATAGTAAGGAAAAATAGAGGCGAATTCCAAACTATTACCCCTGGATTTAAATAAAAACAGACCTCACAGTCCCATATGAATACCAAAGCCAAACAGCTAGATCTTCTATTGACTCCCGACATTTGCTAAAATTTTAAAATTGTAATTTAAATTAAAATAAATAAACACAACCTAATTTGTAGCAAAGCATTCTCTCGTTTATCATGATCTCCCAATTCTAAAATCCATTGACAAATTTGTTCAACACCTTTTTCTTTGTCTTTTTCATCTCTAATTAGAGACGAAGATTGTGCTGTTGCAATATTAGGTGAAAGGGATTTTTCCATAATTAGCTGAATTAAAAAATCTTAAAAAAAAGTTTTTAGACATTTAAAAAATAAATTTCCTTTTCTCTTCAAAAATAAAATGAATAAACCGTGTGTACATAAATCAACTTAAATAAATGCGAGGCTGTTAATAAAATTAAAAAAAAAATTTATAAAATGACGTTCTTTAAAATTCGTATCACTCAAACAAAAGACAGCAATTTTCTGTTTACCTTCAATCATTTATTAAAATCTAACAATATTTACATATTTTTAGTTCCTATATGGGAGAAAAATGTTAAACAATTTTATATTCATCTTCCTTGATTTCCCCCAAAGGCTCATAAAAATTACCGTGAATGAAGTCTTTTAAAGGTTTCAAATTTATAAAATTTTCTATAAAAATTTATGGGAAATACTCGCTTAAATGAAATTCAATTCAGTTTTAATAGCATTTGACCTAGCGCACGCACATCAATAATTGTGTGACATCTGCCATTGCGAAAGCGAATTTGTATGGAGAGAGAGTGCTAGAGAGGAAAGTAACAAATAAAAACGCTCTTACCCTACCAATAAAATCCTTTAAAAGAATTTCTTTTTAATGCGTGCGGTTTGAACTTTCATTAAAATTAATTTAAATTTTAAAACAATTGATAAAATGTTGAAGAAAATTGTTCAATCAAATTTAGAAAATTATTCCAATAATTAAAAGTTTTATAGTGGGGTAGTAAATTGATTGAATATGTAGAAGGAGAAAAAATAGAATTGGGAGATGAAGGAAATTGGGCGGAGGAGAAAAAAAAGTGTTGGAAAAAAGCCGAAGAAATAGCTTTTACTCTTGTTGGTTGGGGGCTCTGTGTGTATTTAACAATAAATAATGTAAATAAAAGGAGCAGATTTCCAACTTGTAATTTCTTTCTTGGTAAACTTCAATTCCGAGGTTGTTTTGTAATTCACATGAATCTGAAACGCAGGGCTTCGATTGAGAAAATGTTAAATTGAAGCACAAATCTGCTACAAAAAATTTTCGTAGCGCCACAGGAACTTTTCCAAGATAAATACGAAACAAGGCCCTGCCTATACATAATTGAAAATCAGAACAGAATAAAAATAAAATATTTTTTTCTTTTCTCCATTAAAATAATTTAAAAATTTATTTAATAAAAATCTTTTTTAGTAACAATTAAAGGGAAAATACATAACAATAAAAAGTCAAAATTCTTCACCAAATCCTGCTTTTGCAGAGCTAATAGATCCTTTTGCCTTAGATTTTGGTCCCCAATTCTTTCCTTTATTATCTTGAAAACGAAGTATATTTTCTATTTTACTTGCAGGAATTGCTTCTTTGTGTAATGTAAAATCAACAGGACGACTAAAAAATTAAAAAAATATTTTTATATTTTTCCCCTTCATTTAAATTTTATCTGGTACTCCCTCATTGAAAAAAGAAATTTTCTGATTTAAAATTAGGGGAAAAATCAGTTAAATTAATAATGAGTTTAGGTTGAATTACTTAACAATTCCATACTGAAAAAAGGATCCCACTTCATTTAAATTTTATTTTTTACTAAAAATATTTACGTTGATTCAGTGTTCATTAACATTAATCCAACAGAATTTAATTTTTGAATTCCATTTGGGTTTTTATTTGATTTTTTAGCCTAAAAATAATTTAAAAAATAAATTTATTTAAAATTACCCATTCTCTACAAATATCCCACAAAAATTCTGTTGGGGCATCTGTTTTTAATGCTTGAGGACCACAATGAGAACCAGAACATTTAAATCCAGCATTTAACAACGCTGAACGTACAAAAGTATTTTTTGGTGTAGAAGAGCATTTAATTATTCTCATTAATTGTTCAAATTCATAAAATAATGGTTGATCATTTAATTCTTCCAAAACAAGAGTTAAAACCCCAACAAGTCTTTTAATTGTTCCAAAAGAAAAATTATTTTCTTTTTTTAAACTTTAAAAAGTAATTAAATATTTAAATAAATTAATACCTTTCCAACATTTTTTTAACAAAAATTTTATCGTGTATTGGAGCAATATAAATAGGCCCTCCAAAATGTATAGCTTTACACCCACAAAAAGAACAAATTGGCTCTTTTATTTTATTTTCTTCTTTTAAATTAATTAAAGAATTAAATTTTAAATGAATTGGACAAAAACGAGAATTATTTGAAGAATTTGTAGTTTTTTTAATTAAAGGTTGGAATGACCAACATTGACAATTTGAACAAGAAAAAATATTTGCCAATTTTCTAAAAAATTATTTAAAAATTAATTAAATTTAGGTACTTATATATATTTAAACAAAAAATATTTTTATTGGGGTTGCCGTTTTCGAGTCGGGCCGACGGTCGAGTTATCTTTCGGGTCTCAATTTTATCGAGTCGGGCTGTACGAGTCTTTTTCAGACCAAAAATCTTAGGCCCGATTCGATCTTTCAGTCCGAGTTGGTCCATTTTGGGAGCCCTAAATTTATTAAAAATATAAAAAAATCATTTTAGTAAAAGAAAAAACTAACGTCACACTATCTTTAGCTATAGAAGCACCAGATTCTACCCTCACAAAACATCTAACATAAAAATCAATACTAACTGATAAAATTGGAACAATATAACGACCGTAACGATTTGCGTGGGAATCTATTGAACGAAGAAGGATTCTTAAAGCCTTTAAAAATTAAAAAAAAATTTTTTTTGAAAATATTTTTGTGTTAAAAAACAAGCCAATATTTCCCCCATTTCCCTTTCCAAAAATTTTTCATTAAAAATAAAATCTTCTTTTTCTTACAATTTCATGGCAAGCTTTATGTTTAATTGGAATAGAGCCATATTTATCAAAACAAGCTTCGGGAGTATTTCCACACAAAACAGCTGTGTCTGTTGAAGTAACCATTAAAATACCCAAAAAAAATTAAAAATAAAAATTTATTTTTAATTAAATTAAAACCTCCATCAATAACTGATTGAACAGCAGAATCTAGGAAAATTGAAGGAGAACCTAGATTAATAAAATTAAAAATTAATAAAATTGGAGTATCGAGTGGATAAAGTTTTAAATTATTTTTGTAATTTTTACCATAAGGATCTAAATCTATTGCATGAAATCTTTTGGAAAATTTTCGATGTTCATTCATTAAATCTCTAAAAATAAATAAATAAAAATTAAAAGAAATTAATTTTGGATAGAAAATATTTTAAATGAATTTTATTTTTGGTTTTTGGAAAAATAAGGGAGAAAGGGCAAAAAATTAAAAAATGGTTAGAAGTGTGGGGTACGAACTGAACTATTAGCCGGCATATTTCCTTATTTCAATACAAACTAAATATTAATTAGTTAAAAATATTTGTTACTTACATAAAAGAGAATTAATCATTACTTCCCCCCCCCAAAATTGAAGAAATATTTTTAAAAAAATTCTCAAAAATTTCACTTGCATTGCATCAGAAAAATTAATTTTAATTTTATTTTCATCTAAAAATCCATTTAATTCCAAATTTCTTTTAATCGTTTTCACAGCCTGTTCAGAAAAATCATTAGCCACAATTAATTCAATATTTTCAATTTCCAAAGCAAAACGTATAGCCCTCAATCCAGAAGCAGACAAAGCATCCAAAATTTTAATTCCTTCACAATTTTGTTTAATTTTTAATTTAATTTTGTTTGTTGGATTGTCGATTTCCATTTGTTGTTGTTTTTGTTCTTCTCTTATTTTTGTAAAAGTTTTTAATAAAAGAACACTTGAAAGAGAAAATGTTAGAAAAGGCTCAATTAAAAATATATTTTACGTTAAATCTCTATTAAATTCTTGTATTGGATTATAAAATGATAAAGCTTCTGAATCTGTGTATATTTTAGCTAAACCTTCTTTAATAAATTCTGTTGAACATTCAGTTTCCATTTAGAAGAAATTAAAAAAAAATTAATTAAATATTTAATATCTGCCTGCAAAAATTAATAAAATTGATGAAAAAAATACAAATTTTGGATTGACAAAAAAATTTTTCTTTCAATTTAATTTTTGATGAAAAGTTTGGCGTTGAAAAGGTTGCAACAATAAAATAAAAAGTTTTTAAAAATATGTACTTTAAATTTTTGGATAATAATCAAATGATTATACAATAATAATTATAGGCTAATTGTAAGTATCGGGGGGTAGGATGGACGAGTGGAGGATAAACTTTACTTCGGGAGATTCAGAGTCAACCTTATAATGAAATAAAAAATTTGGTGTTGATCATATGCTTTTCGATATACTATGGGGGCATTCGTATTAAGGGGTGTATAAACAAATATTATCCAGTAATTAATAAATTTTATACTTTACAGAGATGAAGAAATTTTCTTTAAAAATAATAAATAAAAATAATTTTTCTTAAAAATACATATGTATAATAAAAAAACAATGTGTGGGTTATGTGGATTTTTAACATAGTAAAGGTTAAAAAATTATGTTTTTCGGGGATTTAAAATCAAAAACTTTTTCTTTTTAATTTTTCTTCGATAATTGCCTTTTTATAAATTTTTTGGTTGTCTCCATAGACTTAATAAAAGGTTTTTTTAAAGGAAATATAACAGAAGTTGGCCAAACAAAATATTCATTTTCTTTTTTATCTTTTTTTAAATTAAATTAAATTAAAAATATTTTCTTTTTTTTTAAAAAATTACCAGAAATTGTTTTAATTAATTCTTTTGCAAATTTAAGGCAATTATGAGTAATTACATTATATGTTTTTGCTGTATAATCTTTTGCAAAGTTTTTATCAATTACATCAACAATTTCAACAAAAGATAAATTTGTTTGGACATTTCTCCGGCTTTCCCCTCCATTTTTATTTTTTAAAAATATTTCATCATAATTTCTTTTTTAAAAAAATAATTAAAATAAAAAAGGAATATTTAAATACTTAAAATATCCACCATCAAATCTTGTATGGAAATATTTTGGAATCCAATATTCCAATCCTGGACGATGAAAATGGATTTCTTAAAAAAATATTAAAAAAAATATTTTAATTTAATAATAACCAATTCCACAAACAAATACTCCAACATGGAAAACACCAACTTTTGTTGAATTCTGAAATTTAATTACTTTAATTACACTTTTATTCTTATTAGCAGCCTTCCTAATTAAAGTTTAATTATCATCAAATATTCTCTAGTCCTACTTATGGCAGATTTGACCAAATTTTTATTTTAATATTTATACATTGCCGGAAAATTAAATAAATATTTAATACTTAACAATTAGTTTTGTTATGTATTTGAGGTTTTATTAAACGGCTTTAGGGTAAAAATTGTTTATTTTATAAAAACAAATTATTTACAACTGTAAAGCATATAGCTATTTATTTTCTAAGGCTTTGCAGTAGGCGGTGTGGTGTAATACAGTTCAAGAAAATAAAATAAATTTTCAATTAATTCCTCATATAGTATATCAAGTTCGGTCTAATGAAAATGCTGGTTTGTTCCCAGCCACCGATTCATCTTTTGCACTAGCTAAAGGAGAGAAATAGCTATAACCCAGCTGCTTTAAACAACATACTTTTAATAATTTATAATTTGCTATTTTTATTTCCCCACAACTTTTCTTTTCTTTAACATCCGACAAAAATATTTCTTTATCAAAATCGGACTTATATTTTTGCGGGTTTTTGTTAAATTCTTCTGTCATTTTAATAGCCACATTTTTTGAAACTTTTTCTGTATAAGGTTTTAATATTTCAATTCTCTCAATTAATTCCTCATTTTTTTCATTTTCATAATCTTCATTAATTAATTCCAATAAAGATTTATTTCTTCTAATTATTCTTTCGCTATTAGAATGGCCATTTTGTATTTCATTTTTTGTTGATTTTATTAAATAAATTGAGAGGTAAATAAAAAGAACTTAAAATTTAAAATAATTAATTTAATTAAATAAAAAATAACCAATTTTAGGAAGTAAACAACACATTTTTTAAATTAAATAAATTTAAAATGTTTTTTAAGTTGTTTTAATTTTTAATTTTAATAGCTAATATAAATATTAAATTTAATTTTTGAGTTAATAAATATAAAATAGTAGTGATGCACTTCCTCAATTTATTGGCTAGTCAGCACTTTAAATGCATTAACACTCTAAATAGGGCAAAAGTCAATTTTTAAATTTAATTTAAAGGAATCTCTCTAAAATGCCGCTCTCCCTCCTTTCTTTCATATGACAACAAGATCCGGTCCCGAGAAAGTTCGTGTTATAAAGAGACAAACTACAAATATTAACGGAAATAAGAAAAAAGTGCAGACATGTGAAATTTTTTATCAGATTATTTGATTGATTTTTGTTATTTTTAAATTTATTTTTAAATATTAACAGATTTAAATTCCATAATTAAACTTGGGTTAATTAGAAAATTGTTTCTAGTATCAATTTTTAAGTTATGTCTAATTTTTTCGCCAAAAGGTGATTTAATATTTTAATAATATTTAAATATATTTTAAGAATTCAGTGAGTAAAATAAATTTAAAAAAATATTTAATTATTATTTAATTTCCTGTCTAACTTAAATTTTTTTTTAATTTCATACATCTACATATGTACTCACTTCCTATTACGTTATATGTATATGTACTTTTCTTCTTTATCTTTTATCAAAATTTTTTTCAATTAATTTTTAAATAAAAAAAATTAATTTAATTTTTAATTATTTTTTTTATAAATAATTGTTGTTGAGTACTTTCTTCTCTTTTGATGATTGAGAAGTTGAATTTACTTAAAAAATAATTTAAATTTAAATAAATTAGAAAATATTTACTTGGTGGAATTATTTGGTTGTAAGGAATAACTGGACAAATTGTTGGGTGAACAATTGGTGTTGAAATAAATTTAAATTGATTAATAAATGCTTTATTATATTCAGAACTTTTTTTAAAAATTTAGAAAAAAAATATTTATTTATTTATTTTTAAATACCTAAAAATATATAAAGAAACAGGCGATAAACTCATAGCTATATAAGGGGCAATTGTGGATATATTAATTAAATACCAAGTATTTACTGAATGATTATTTGCCGAATTAACAATAATTCTCATTAAATAATTTGTTATCCACCCACAGATTTCCATTAATAAAATCATTGAAAGTGATTTAAATACATTTACTTTTTAATTTAAATTAAATTTAATTTTAAATTTAAATTACTTTGTTTCTTTTTCATTGAGGATTTTTTAAACATTAAAATAATCCAAACATTTATATAACAAAAAACCTTTTTTAATTTAAATAAATTATTAAAAATTAAATTAATTACGGATGTTAAATTAACAATAAGCATCATAATTACAATCCAACTTGCTTCCTTCTGTACTGTATCACTTAAATATTTTAAATTTATAATAAAATTTTTAAGAATTTTAATTAATTTCTCTTACATTACTGTGCACATAACTGGTCTGAAATTTAAAAATGAATTAATTATATAGAATATAGGTATGTATATTTTATTTGGAAATTTTTAAAAATATAAATCTAAAAAGTCTAAAAAGAATTTTTAACTCTGAATACATATAAGTAACTAAAAACGTTTTAGTTTAAAAATATAAAATTAATTAAATAATTGCATATTTACAAAATTATATAAAAATTTACAAACATTTCTGGATTTTCTAAAGAAATTTTAAGTCCAATTACAGGCACAATAACAGAATAAATGCAACAGAAAATAATTATTATTACCAAATAATTCCTTTTATCGTGTAAAGCATACCTTTTTTTAATTAAAATTTAAATTTTAAAATAATTAAATAACCATATAGGAAATAAAACACTTAAAAGTCTATCAACTCCAATAGATAAAGCAATTCCATTTGTGAACATTGAACAAAATAAAGGAATTGTCTTTAAAAATTATTTAAAAAAAAATTTAAATTAAAATAATTACTTGAATAATTCCACAATAAATTAACGAAATAAAGTTTTTTCCACTTAAAACAACAAATAAAGTTACAAAAGTGCTGCTTTGTTGAATACAAATAGAGAAGGCATTTAATGCTATTTGAACATTACAAGCCCCTCTTAAATTCCTTTTTTTTTTAATTTTTTAAAATTAAATTTAAATAAATTAAAAACTTTGTTTTCCAAGTAATTAAAACAAGATCTCCATTTAAAATTATTCCTATTAAACAAACAAAAACTTTAATTGATATAAGCAAGACTAGAGGTGCAGATATTCCTTTATCTTTAAATTCGACATAAATCTGTTTTTAAATTAAATTATTCAAATTTTTGTTAGTTTTTATTAATTTTAAATTTCAAGATTTTGTGTTTGAATAATATTTTAAAAGTTGATATACCGTATATTCTCTATTAATTGCTCTCATTCAAATAATTACCCCCACTCTATTAATTACTCCCTCTGGCGAGTGATCGAAATAATAATTAGCCAGGGTAATTAGTATTAGAGCATATACGGTATAAAAAAATTTTTTCTATTTAAATCTCTTACTGGATCAGTATTGTTAGTCATTTTATATTAAATAATGGTGTAATTATTCAATATTTAAAAATTCCTTAAATGAAATTTTTAAACAAAATTTTCTCTTCTTTTAAATCATTACTTAAATACTTTTTAAATATTATTTTTATAAAATGAAAAAAATAACAATTTAAAAATTAGAATTAAATTAATATTTGAACATTTTTGTTGAGAAAATTTATTTAGAAAAAATTTTTAAATAATAATTTTATTTAAAAAAATTTCAGCACATTTATAAGTCACATATAATATATACATTTTTATTGTCAATTTAATTTTCTAAAATAATCTTACAAAAAAAGAGAAAATACCTTAGATTTTATAACATTTATGGCTTTAAACATTAAAACATTTTTGCTATTTTTTTGGCTAATTTTATTAT